AATTGCTTATGCGTATGAAAATCTTCCGCTCTCCGAAAACCTTGACTTCTCCAATCTTCAGTCGTGTAAATATTCTTTGCTGCCAAAAAGTCCCCATCTCCTTCTCACAAACAAGTTTTAATAGTATTAGGTCATCCCTAATAAATGCAAAAAAATGTCCAAAGTACCCTTAATGATCCAAGACACTTAAAACTCCAAAAATCAGAATTCCTAGCGCCTTGGCCGACACGGATCGTGTCATGCGACACGGGCGCCCGTGTCAGCCTCTGTTTCTCTCTTTTAATCACGCTCTCTCCCAGACCTTCTGACACGGGCTGTGTCAGCTGACACATGCACCCGTGTCAGCCTCTGCCTCCTCTCCTAAAGTTATGCATCCTCTCATGACACGGCCTGCGTCAGGTGACACGGGTGGCCGTGTCAGGAACCTTGTAGCTTGGTTTCTAAGACTTCCTCTGACACTTCGAATTTTCCCTTTTCGCACTGATTTTCCTGGTTTTATTCCTCTGAACCTGAAAACAACAAAATACACAACCAACGCGTAAAACATAAAAAAATGAAATAAAAAACTTGACAAAATAAATAAACTATAACTAAATTCAACTGTAAATAAAGGTGGAAAAACCATTGATCAGTCTGCATGGGCGAGCCCTTTGTGGGGGTGCCTTGTGTCTTCCATTTTCATATTTCTTCTAGTTTAATATATTTATTTTTTGCACGGATTAGTTTTATTACTAGGTACAATTAATCCAAATTTCTTTCGTTCAAATATTTAACAATAAGCAAAGTCACCTTCATAATAATCAAGCAACCAATAACACAGTAGAGTTGTGACGGAACAAAGAGATTGCAAGAATAACTTATCTTATACTGATGGCGTATGTGTTGTAATCCATTGTTATTCGGATTGACGAATCGTAATCACATCCTTTAACGTCAAGGTTGGCACGCTGACTCTGATATGAGTATCATTACATCTAATTTATAGATCTTAAAGATGTGGTCATGACCTTCTTAAAATCTTGTGGTCTATCTGAGGTATGAAGTTGATGGTTCTGATTCATTGATTGGATAACACATTTGTATCGTTGTTTTGACCATCCCCAGTGGGAAGATGGAACGTGCATATGAAAAAGGTGTGGTCTGATCGAGAGAGACGGTGGTGTCTATAATAGATCCAATCGGGAGAGATGGTGGTGTCGGTGATGGATCCGATCGAGAGAAAAAATGGTGTTGTCAGAGGCCTTTGCGGCAACGTCAACTAAAGAGAAAATGGATTTCATGTGATCCAACAGAGTTTTACTACTCCCCACAGACGGCGCCAACTGTTCACGGAGGAACAATGTGATGACCTCCTTGAAGTTGGCTGGGAGAGGTCGTAATATATAAGTGTATTGTATTAAAATTATGGATCACCATTCCTTTGTCGAGGTCTCCCTTTATAGTCCCTATTATGATACAAGGGTAATCAAATTGATAAAGCCATATTCATGGCTATTGATGCAATAATTACCACATAGGAGACCTGTTTGAACATCCTTCTAAATATCCATGAATGCATGACTTGCCAAGCTCTATCTATTCGAGTTATGTTTTGTCAAGCTATGTCTGGATGAGCTCTGTCTTTCCAAGCTCTATTTAATCGAGCTCTATTTTTAGTAGATCCGAGATGTAGATCTCGAATGTATATAACCCCCTAAGCGTGAGGCCTAAGAAGGGCGATGTGCTTAAGTGTGATCTGAGATGTAGGTCTCTGATGCACACAACTCTCCAGTGAGATGAAGCACACTGCTCCCGCGCAGTTCTACGAGGAGTATCTACAAGGTTATCAGTCCAACATCTAAGTTAGTGGTTGAGTAATGGAGATGGAGTGAGTTATAGACCAGAAAAATCATACATGTTTATGTGCAAATGCGGAAGTTATGAGATAGGCGGAATTGGGCCTCCGTGACTTTGGACTTAGGGTCAGTTCAGAACAATTTCCCGCAAGGCTTGCGATGTTGTGATGCATGAGAAGTCTTTCAAAAATTAGGTCGAGCACACCTTGTTCGTGACCTCGTGTTGAGGAGTGGAACATATATGGACACATCTACCGACGAGGAGTGTGTTTCCTTCATGGAGATTCACTCATTTTCAATTGTCTCCAAGGAGAATCCATATGTCTCTTGTAATCTCCCTTATGCATGTTTTCTTTCGCATATCTATCAAGTATTTATTTTTTTAGTCCATTCTTCTATAGCATCCTTCAATCGGATGCACTCGTTAGTATAAGGCACAAGACTCTTGTGGAAAAAATAAAATTTGGATTTTAAAGTCCATGTTGACTCTTCCACGTGATGGGGAAACTTGACTCTGACCTCCTTGAACATGACATTCGTTCGTTCCTGCAAAATTCGTCCTCTAAAGGTATTAAGTGGTGTGAAATCAAAGAATCTCGACTATGGTATTTTACGGATTTCTCTATCCCTATCATCCCAACGTGTGTTGTCCCCTTGTATTCCACTCGTAACATTTCTTAAGACCTTGTTTCTTTCTATGTCTTCACCCAATAACTTCTCTTTGTAGTTGGTGTATGGTTGGGCTAGAGTCAGGAGGTCATTCGTGCTCCTAACACCTTTCGAACCTAGTTTCTCACAGAGCATATAGTTCACCTTAGCTAGGGGTGTAATTGATTCGGTTTAGACTGGGTTTTTATACATAAAAAAAGTGAACCAATGATATCTCCATTGGTTTGATTTGGTTTGGTTTTTAATATTTTCTAAAATAGAACTAGACCAAACTAACCGGTTTGGTTTGATTTGCTTTGGTTTGGCTAATCAGTTTACAATTTTTTCAAACATTATATTTATCAATGTATTATCTTCTATCATATTTTTCGGTGTATTTTATGTTATTATTTTTTAAAATATATTTTACGTGACTTATTTCATCCTCTATTTTTTTAAAACAAATTACAAGTTTTTCTTAATCCATACGAAACAGTGACATGACTTGCATTGCATCATAAAAAAGTTTACTATCAAATATAAAAGTTAACACTTAGTATCAGAAAGTTGGGAAGGAATTTGGAAGCTTAACAAATAAAACGCAATAATAACAACAAAAAATTTCCATACACATAAATTAACATGTTTCGCACTTCAAACACGTATCAAAACTATTTTGTAATAAGACTAGAAGGAAGTTTGTTGAAGAAGAAGAAACAAAAAAAAGATTTTAAAAACATATGAAAACTAACAAAGAGAACTTGAATACGAAGAAGACGACCATAACATATCAGAACGACGATAGAGAGAGCAACAATGGTAACGGACAGCGAGAGCAGCAATTTAGTGAAAGTACGTTTTTGTGACTTATGGTTTCTACTTTATATGTTTTGGAGTTTGATTCTAGATGTTGTTTTACTGAAAATAAGAAAACGTAAATAAATAAAAAAATAGTTGGACTGATACAAATATTGGGCTTAACGATAGATTTAGTAAAATATTTATAGCATAATTATAGTCTTTAGTTCGGTTTATCGGTTTGACCGTTTCTAAAAAATAAAATCGAGAACCAAACTAAACCACATCACTTTTTATTAGTTCGGTTGGATTTAAGAATCAAACCAGAAACAATCAATTTTTTCCAGTTTAATTTGGTTTAGATTGTCGATTTAATTAGAATTTTATGATCTGATTACACCCCTACCCTCAGCCCTGTCTCGAAGATGTAACAATTCAATTTATCAATTTCTCCTCCTACCTAACCAACTACCTTAATAAATTTGTCAATGTGTTCTTTGAGTGTCTCCTTCTTCTTCTTCCGAAGGATCTCATTAGTGACAACTGTTTTATACAGTTGAAATGTCCGTGTTGTGAATTGTGATGTGAATTCTTCATATAATTTTCCAATAGCTAACGGAATTTTTCTCCAAGGTATTGAACCCAGTCATAATTAAGTGTAGTGTCCACGTGCTCAATATATTCTATTGGGTCCCCGGTCCTGTCCTAACTCTCCAGCTTCAATGGTTTTTCTAGTGGCCTAAGGATCATGCAGTTGATAATATGCTTAGTGAATGTGTTCTTTTGCTCGTGAGATGAGGCAATATTAGCTGGATTGGAATATGACATTGTGTTTCAGGTGACAAAGTGATTAGGATCGAAATTTATTTTGTTGTAAGAGTAAGAATCTGCGTGACGACAACTTGGCACATCTTGAGTGGTGATCATGCATCATGTGCAAGAATTGTGTTGCGATGAGTTGTAGATCGAGTCGCCTTAGTCCATACCATTGAAGATGTCTACTGGAAATAATTCCAAAGAGGTTAACAATAACCAGAACTTGGTAACATAAAAGGTTATGGTGCGTGGGGCGACTAAGAAAAGCCATTGTGGTGGCGCAGCAAAAGAGATCAAGAAAACGCGATGGTGTTTTGTGAGAATCAGAAGATAATTTTCACATACAATGTCATTATTCGGTACTAAATCAAAAAAAGTAGTAGATTTAAGATAACCACCAAGGAAGGGCTTTTGATGCGGTGATGGTTGATGTGTTTAGTGAACAAAGAAGGAAGAAAAATACTTGAAAGATTATCACTCAGATGCATAAGTCACTCAATGAGAGAGGGGGAACTTATAGGTTAAGTTCCGAGGATCAATGAATATCTAGAGGTGACTTAAAATCACACTTATATTGAGATGACAGTTAGAACCGTCAGTGGTTGAATCGATGTGAGATGTGGCCAGGCGTGAGTGGGTGGGATCAACAATTGAGAGGGAGATAGGGCGTTGCTTTAGTGTTGTGCTTTGGTGTTGATGTATACCTGTTCACCATTTGAATGAGCACTTAGGGTTAGATTGAGCATCTAAATTAGGCCTTTGGCCAACCTTAAACAACTATTTATGATAAAACTATTTATTCCTTAAATTATATTATATTATTAAACCTTAATTATACATATTGTAAACTAAATTAATAAAGAAAATGAGTAACACCATGCAATTTTGTTGACAAAGTGTCAATTAACGACCATCTTGAAGGCTTGTGGTTATAGTAGCTTCAACAGAGCTTAGTGATGGTGTAGGAGCATGATAGGTTGCAACAGGTCTTTTTGGTGGAAGATTTGGCAAAGCAACCTCAAAATTAAGCACTTGAATTGCTTGTCTAATGGATGGTCTTAGATTCACATCAGGATGAGCACACCATAATCCAACAATCATCAAACACTCCACTTGTTTCTCATCAAAATCCTTTCTCAAATTCTCATCCATTGCCATAAGTAGCTCTCCTCTTCCATAATGATCCCAAACCCACTCAATCATTCCCTTTTCTTCATTTTTTTCCTTTATAACTTCAGTAGCTTTCTTTCCACAAGTTATCTCCATCACAACTATCCCGAAACTATACACATCTGACTCTTTACTAGCCCTACCTGTACTCACATACTCTGGAGCTAGATAGCCAAATGTTCCGGCTAAACCGGTTGTTTGAGGCCCAAGTTCATGATCCATCAATTTAGCCAACCCAAAATCACCAAGCTTAACATTGAAACTAGAATCTAACATAACATTACTTGATTTAATATCTCTATGTACCACACACCTCTCCCATTCTTCATGTAGATAAAGCAAACCAGAAGCCAATCCAAGAGCTATTTTGTGCCTTGCACTCCAAGAAAGAGGTGTTCTCTTACCAAATAAATGAGAATCAAGACTACCATTTGGCATGAACTCATAAACAAGAAGAAACTCACCTTTGTCATGGCACCAACCCAACAACTTCACAAGATTCCTATGTCTCAGCTGACTAATCACTTTAACTTCAGTAACATACTCTTTCTTACCTTGTCTTGACCCTCTCGATATTTTCTTCACAGCAACTTGTATATCTAAATCAACAAAGTAACCTTTATAAACAGCTCCAAACCCACCTTGACCCAACTTTCTATCTCTAGAGAAATTATTGGTGGCAATATCAAGCTCTTTGTAGTTGAACCTCCTTGGTCCTGCTCCTCTTTCAAGGTCATCATTCATTGAATTTAAATGCATAGCCTCTTCTTTTTGCTTTTCACTTCTCTTTCTTTTCCTCTTGAGCACTACATATGCTACCAATGCTCCCACTACTATTACAACCCCACAAGAGATTGTTACTATCACAATTAATCTTGTCTCTTTTGTATTACCATCATCACTTTTGTCCAAAGTGGAGTTAAACTCCCATGACAAAAGATTATTTACTTCTGCAATAGTGCCTGTTGCAGCTGAGAATCCAACAGTAATCCATTCAGGTAGGACCTTCATTAAATCAATTTGATATGAAAGACTAGTTTTTTCTTGAGGATTAGAGGTGCTTTTGTATCTCCAAGATACAGTCAAGTTCTTGGTTGTAGAATTGTAGCTAATACTTACCTCAGCAGTGTCTCCACTATGTAAACTAGCATTCCAAGGTGTTGATACTGATGAAACGATTGAATTATTGTTGATTCCAACATGTTGTGTTGTCTCACCCAATTCTTTATTTGGGTAAGAATCAAACTCCACAAGAACAATTTGGTTACTAGATGATGAAAGCATTGTTGTGGTGTTAAATAGACCCATGAATCCACCAGAAGAATTAGGTGGGATTTCAAATCCAAAAGGAACCAAGAAAAACGCAAGTCCATGGCCATATGGAGATCTATTTTGAGTGTCTATGATAAAAGTGTAATGAGTTGTGAAGTCAGTGAGTTGACCAGTTTTTGAGTCCCAAAGTAAGATCTTTTTGGGATAGATGGCCCATCCAACTTGACATGAATAATTTTCATTGATGTTAAAGTTAACTTCTCCATCAACTGGTGCTGCAGAACCTTGGTAGATTATGTTGACTTCATTTGGATTAAAATTTGGAATTTGGAAGTGAATTGAATAAGCAGGGAAAGTAAAGAAACATAAGGACAATAAGATGGTATAGAAGAAACTGGGATCCATGCGTTGAGTTTCTTAAGAGATCAAAAGAAAAGATGAGTTTTGAGAATTAAAATGATGTTCAACATATAAATGACAACTTGAACATGGTTGCATCAAATGACTATAAAAGGTTCTAAACATGTGACTAGTTCAATCAGATTCTAAGTTTGACTAAATAAAATATATCAAATTGTTTAATCTTTCTTTTGCAGTCAAGGTGTAGTAATATTTCTAAAATGCATGTCTGCATCAAGTTTTTAATAAACTAATACAGTGATCGTTGAAAATTTTACACCACATATTATAATTTATAATTTTCACCAGCGAGCACAATTTTAGAAACAGAAGCTCGTTATTTTTATATATTAACAATAGAAGAAGTTAGTTAGAAAACTTGTTGAGCAAGTTACAAGAGTTAGTACTAGGAAATTGTAATATTGAAAACAATATTTGTTAGTACTAAGAAATATTTTAGGTAACAATATCCGTTAGTAAAAGGAAATTGTATTATATATATTTTATTTCATTTTATATGAAATCATTGTCAAACAAATTAATGTTGATTTGTTATACTTGACCAAGTTCTCAAGGGAGAGATTATAGGCACATATTTAGGAATTCTAATACCAAAGGATAGTATGTATGAGGTGTAAGAACAAGATTTAGTTTCCTATCTGACATTTAATTTTTATGATAATAATATATGGGTGATTAGATAATAATTTAGTACTTAATTGTTTTATCTAGTGTATTTTTACTAACAGGTTCAGACTCTAAAGATATGGTGTGTGATGTCATCAGACTATGGACTCAACACACTAAGTGATACAAGTGCGTATTACAAGGATCAAAATGCTTTTAAAGTAACGGTTCCGAAGAACGTTAATTTTTAAAGTTTTTGTCTGTGACTCTGATGGTAGAGCTTCGAAAGGCTTCTCAAGCTCTGAAGATTCTAGGCTCTCTTGCTCCAAGGTTATCAAGATTTTGAAGACAATGTTCTGATGAACAAGTTTTGAAGACTCTGAAGACCAATGGTTCTAACGACCAATGTGCTGAAGACTCTGAAGACAAAGGCTCCGAAGACTGTTTTGATCCTTCTAAACATGCTTCAACTCATACATACTCTGAATCCTCTAAAGACTAGAAGATAAGATCAATACAAATTTCGTGAGAAATAGTACAAGATCACCTCCTTCCACTACTCTGATTTTGTGGCGAAAGGACTGTACTATTGGTACGATTTTGTCCACTCACACTGATCTTTATGCAAGAAGATAGCTGCAAATCTGATATTTCTATTCCACCCTCCAACAAATTTCTTTTTGGCTATAAAATGAAGACTTTGAAGAATTGGAAAACAATGAATTTACGCTGCTGAAATTTTATTGTATATCTTTTGTAAAGTTTTGTAAAGCGATGAACTTTTGTTCGTTAACTTGCTAGCAAGTGCATACAAGTTAGTAGGCTATTGTGATGTTGGAGATAAACTAGATAGGAAAAGCTTTTTCGTAAGCTTTCAGTTTCTGGGAGACAATTTGATCTCATAGTCTAGCAAAAGGCAATCAATAATAGTGCTCTCAACTGCAGAAGTTGAGTATATTTCTACTTCTGGATGCAGCACCCAGATCCTCTAGATGAAAAATCAGCTAGAAGTTTATCAAATATATGAGAGTAACATTCTCATTCTCTATGACAATACTTCTTCCATTTGTTTGTCCAATCCAATTTTACATTCTAGGGCTAAACATATTGAGATTAAGCATCATTTTATAAGAGACTATGTTCAAAAGGGAATTTTATCTTTAAAATTCATAGATATAGATCACCAATGGACTGGTAACTTGACCAAACCCCTTGTGGAAGATAGCTTTGTTTTCATTCTAAAGCATTTAAAAATGGTTTCGTGTCCAGAATAAAAAACATGTAATCTCAGAATGTTGGCTTCCCAAATGGAAAAGTGAGACTCTGAGGTTTATTATTCATTTTGTTTCGCTTCTAGAATGTGAGACTTCTGACAAGTGAAGTTCTCATATATCAGAAGTGTCCTAGGTCAAAATCTTTTCTTTTGAAAGCTTGTGTCCCTTGAAAACTGAAGAGTTTACGTCATTAATGAGGTGTCAGGATAGTGAAAGGTTAATGATTCATTTTAAGACAATTTCCTTTTCTGAAACATGCCTAACACCTAATGTGACATATTGGGAGAAGAGATCTTATTGGGATTAGGTAAAAAATCTCTATGCTTTACCCCTTGTCAGAATTTTTTCTCTTTTCAAAACTTTTTTAATGATTGCAAAAACTCTATTTAAACACACTCACTTCCACTTCACACATTTTCGTTATTGCTATCCCATACTTTCTCTCTTTTAAGCTCCAAAGTTTCTCAAAAACCCTTTTCGGTTCTTGTTCGTGAATCAATGGCTTCTCAACAACAACAATGCTCAACTGATCAACAAAATATTCAAGGTTATTCTCAACAACAACAACATCAAGTTCAAGATCCTGATCTTTACTTGTCGACTCCAGTTAGTCAGTTATTTGTTCTTGCAGAATTGATAGTTGATTTCGAGAACCTCTATGCTCATGAGTTCGATTTTTCTGAAGTTGTTAAGTTTCAAGGATGGGAAACTTACTTTGATCGTTTGAAGGGGCCATTTTATCCTGAACTGGTTAAATATTTTTGGGTACATGCTTATTTGACAGATAATGAGTATGTCTTCTTTGTTAGAACAAGATTCGATTCTGCATATAATCTCTGAGTTTTGATGATATCAGTGCATATATTTTTATATGTAATAATTTTGTGTTCTAATAGTTTCTTGAGTGTGCAGATAAAATATTCTAATTAATTCAGGATTGTTATCTGAAGAATCATCAGAATTATTCTTAGCACACATCAAAAAGAGTGTTCCATGTGTTTCTGAAGAAACATCAATAGTTATAATGAATGTTGAATGTTCACCAGAAATAGTCTCACGCATACTTCTCAGATAAGTTGTTGCTTCAGAAGTCACCAGTGTGTCCAGAAAAGGAATCTCCATGTGTGAAGATCTGATATCAATCTTTTTCTTTAAGGATCATATATCAAGCTTTTTCTTCAACGATCAGATATCAAACTTTTTCTTCAAAAATTAGATATCAAGTTAAAGTGCTTCTCAGATAAGATTTTGCTTCCAGTTCAAATATCAAACAAATTGTTTGTTAGATAAGTTGTTGCTACATGTCTGAATACTAGGTTCTGATTCTGAAAGACTCTGATACAGTTGAGATAATGAATCATCTTCTGGAATATCCATCACTTGTTATCAAAAATATTTCATTAGAAGATTAAAGAACAAAGACATGATCTCTTATGCACTCTCTTACTACTTCAGATCAGATCAGAAAATAGTACAACAGTACAATAGTACAACACCTTTTCCATTATTTATGGAGAGCGCAGTGTATGGATAAATTTTTGGTGTGCTCTTTGTCTCTGATGATCATACGATACCATTGTAGTAGACGGCTTGGTGAAAGTGAAATTTTCCAACGGTCTTCTTTTCTCAGCCTATATAAAGGGATAACTACTTCATTTGAAACTAACGATTCAGTGGAACGATTCAACAAAAAATCATTCACGGAAAAACAACTGAAGTATCAAAAGTGAAGTTAGTGGGAAAGAAAACAAAGTGAGAGAATATTCAAGAGATATTCTAAAATACAAAGAGTTATTGCTTAGTTTTGTGTTAACTATTCATCCTCTATAAAAACAAGAGTTGTTTCTCATTATTGTGTTATTTTATCATTGTTGTATACACAAGAGTTGTTGTTCATATTTGTGTGTAAACATTTGTTCTTTATTGTGGTGTTAAATCTGCTTTTTAGAAGCACTATTTTAAACATTGTTTGATTGAAAATCATTCTGGATTTGTTTCCTCAAGTGACTAAGTTGTAGTCATAATTACTTGGGAGGGCTAAGGGATTTTTCTAAACACTTAGGTGTTGTTGTAATCTTTCTAGATTATTGGATTAAATCCTTTTCTAAGGAGAAATCATCTTGGCGGGTAGACAACAATAGCCTTTTTCTAATGTGAACTTGTATAAACTAATTGTGTCACTTTTTTTCTAGATTATTTATCATTGTTTGTTTGTGAGAAGAATTTGCAAAAGAAATAGTTTTGAAAACCCCAATTTAAACCCCCTTTATTGTGTTTTTATCAACCTTCAATTGGTATCAGAGCTCCAGCTCTGTTATTTATTTTCAAATAAAACACTTAACTATCTAGAGAGATCCAGTGTGAGAAAAACTTATATGGTTGCTTCTCATACAAACGAAAGAGATGTTTACAGTACTAAGCCTCCTATTTTTGATGGAGAGAAATTTTATTATTGGAAAGATAGACTATAAAGTTTCTTTCTAGGCTATGATGTTGATCTTTGGGATCTTGTTGTATTTGGTTACGAAGAACGTATATATGCGATTGGTATTCCCATTCCCAGAAACAGAATGAATGATGATCAAAAGCGTGTACTCAAGAATAGTCATAAATCTAGAACCATTCTTCTCAACTCAATATCTTACAATGAATATCAGAAGATCACTAAGAGATAATTAGCAAAAGATATTTTTGATTCGCTGCGAATGACACATGATAGTAACACTCAAGTAAAGGAGACTAAGGCATTAACCTGAATCCAAAAATATGAAGCCTTCAATATGGAAGAAGATGGAACCATTGAAACAATGTTCTCAAGGTTCCAAACTTTAGTCGGAGGACTTAAATTTTTAGACAAAGGCTATTCTACAACTGATCATGTTAAAAATTTCATCAAAAGCCTTCCTAAGAAATGGAGACCTATGGTCACTGCTTTAAAGTTGTCTAAGGATCTAAATAACCTATCTCTTGAAGATTTGTTTAACTCCCTTAGAAGTCATGAAATATATCTAGAAGAACATGAGCCTCGGAAAATAGGCAAATATGTTGTTATACGATCAAGGTCAGAAAGGACCAAGTCATAAAAGTGAAAAGCTCTCGAAGTTG